CGGGCGGGGGGTCGGGTCTCAGAAAGTCGCGGGGTCGGCCCTCGGGGCTCTTTCGTCAGACGGGCTTGCTTTCCGCTTGTGTGCGCTTTGCCCGGGGCCGCGTCGGGAGATCCTGCGCGAGTGAGGTCCGCGGAGGTTGGTTTTTGCTGTCAGCCTTCTCGAGCAGAGCGCGTTGGAAACTGCCGTTATCCGTGACTGTCTCAGCCTTAGAAGGGTGCAGTGACTGCTTTGTGTCCTTTCCGCTGGAGTACATCACGAGATTTGCTGAAGTGTATTTCCAGATCGTCCCTTTGATTCCGTTCTGGCGCTGAGAGCCCAGCCAGCTGTAACGTTGTGTCGGTGAATTCAGCGTAGGGCGAAAAGTAGAGGCCGGCATCATCTATGCTGTTTTTTTCTCCTTTTTTCCCCCTTACTGTGTCGTTTGTGCACTCCTGCAGTGCACTAACATAGAAAGAGTTTAATATCTCCTGATTTGCCAGTTAATTGTCAGGCATAAATCTGATTGGAGTGTGTTTATTGTTTCACTTATTATGCTTGGATTTTTTGCGTTGCGTTTTCAAGTCTGACTTGGTTGGACTCCATCAATTTAAGTAGACCTTGGGTCAGGCCCGTCTTCATTTTAAAGTATTTTTGGCAGTGTTTTATGCAAGAATGTAACATTTTGATAGTGTAGGGAATGGGTGGGCAGAAGACGAGAGCAAAAAGAATTGTTATGCACAGAGGAATTTTGCTATCGTGAGAAGAAATTGCTTTTGTTAGTGTTTCTGATATTCTTGTAGATTTTCCTTGATTAAAAAAGACTGATAAACTTGAATGCAAGAAAACGCTTTTTGTTTTTATAAGTAGACTGTGGCAGATTTTTCTTTTTTTTTAATCAAAGCAATAATCAACCAAGTCTAGTAGTTCTGAACCTACAGTTCAGAAATGTGTAACTTAAATAGGCTGTGTTGAAAAGCGTGGTGCCTTTGTCCTCATGAATCCAGGACACAATCAAATTAGACAAAATCCAAGTCTGAAATCAGAACATTAACATATATCTTTTTAGACGGTTCTGCGGTCTCTTCCTTCTAACTTACTGAAATGGGAGCTGTGTAAAAGTTATTAAAGTAAGGGAACTGTCAAATGAAGATGGCTTAAACGTTCGGAACTAGGGCTTCTTCATTAGCTTCTGTTGGGGTCGATAGTCTCAAATGTTCTTCTGGGAGAAAAACTGTCTTAGCTTAGTTCGATCAACTAATCAAGATCAGTTTTCATTTGTAGCTTATTTCACTCACTGTCACCACCAATTAAAATACTAAAAACTTTCTGGGAAATGGAAACGCTAACAGAATGATGCGCTTAATCTGTTGCATTTGAGGCTCTCAAGTGAGTTCTATTTAAGTCGTCTTAATTCTAGCATTAATACATACAAGGGGAAAGTGAAGCTATTTTAAATTACTAAGTTAGTGTGCACATGTTAATAAATAAAACATGGCTCTTGGGGGAATTAAGGTCGCGGCGTTCTTTGAGGTTGTATACCTTGGGTGTTCTGTTTTTAAACGTCTTGATTGCATGATTGCAGTTCTTTGTAACTAGACTTAATAGTTTTTTGAACGTGCATTTAAGCAGTCAGTCCTGGTGACGAATAGTAAAAACTTTTAGTTTTTATACAGTATATGAGTTAAATGACAATGCAGCCCTCGGTTTATTGATTCAGTTGCTCAGCGCCGTGTTCAGACTAGAAGCAGAAGTACTAGTTAGTTTACTGAGCAGCCTTTCTTAAGCCTTGGGGGTGTGTGATAGAGAGCCTGTATTTGGGATGGTTAGTCCGGTGCTGGAGTTAACAAGCCTGACTGGAGGTAGACTAATTTCTGCAGCGTTTCTTCTGAGTCCGTGCGTGGTGTTCCCAGTGAATTCTTACATCTCCCATCCAATGGTAAACGAAAGAATCACTTTATTAACTTTCTGCTAACTACTCTGCATATGTTTCTCAACGTTTCCTGTGCGTTTGACTAGGGACTCTTTCTGAATAGTTTGTTGTCCTGTAGCCCCTTATTTTTGAGGTACGTTTCCATCATTAATAACTATTTAAAATCTGCCTATTCCTGAAGATAATTAACTGATCACTTTTGCTATAATGCAAATGTAATAACTATCTGTCTGTAGTTCTGAAAATGGACCTATAAAGTTCATGTTCTTCACTCGGTCACAGTTGCCTCAAAGTCTAGTAATGGTTTTGTTCCCTTTACTCCTATGAAAGTGAAATGGCTGCCTCTTGTGTTTTTATAGATTGATTTGGATACCATTGATGTCAGCAATCTCAACAGGCAGTTTTTGTTTCAAAAGAAACATGTTGGAAGATCAAAATCGCAGGTGAGAAAAAGTCAAAGCTAAAATCTTTCTTGTTCAGTATTGCTATTTTATGGCCAGAGTTACACAACTGTGTTTCTGCTATACGTACTGCTGCTTACAATATTTTTGTATTCTGTGTGGGGTAGTTGCCAAAGTAAGTTTTGGGCACTTCAGTCAAATGTTTTTAAATCTCTAAGTTGCTAATAAGCTGGTATTGAGCTTTTACCTTTAGAAAGAAGGAAGAAAATAAAGTGTATTTTGTTTTTGTTCGTTTCTAGGTTGCCAAGGAAAGCGTCTTACAGTTTTATCCAGAAGCTAATATTATAGCTTATCATGATAGCATCATGAAGTATGTTTGTTTTTAAGCTCTAATTACACATTTTGATTTGCAAATACTGGGTTATTTAAATGGTACAGTGGGATGCTCTAAGATATTTTACAAAGCTATTGCAGTAAGAAGAAATAGTTTTAAATGTAAGCCTACCATACCCTTGAGTGGGAGCGTAGACTTTGCATGAATCTTTTTAAGCTTTGTTAGTAAGCTGTAGTTGCTTGTTTGTGTCTAATTTTCCCTTTATTAACAACAGTTAATAAAGGGAAACACTGTAAGGATGCCCTGATGTTTTGAGCAATAATTAGATGAAAATAAATGTGAATGTTGAGTCCTTGACCCCAAAAAACATGAAGTGTGTGTGTGTATGAGAAAATCTTTTATACGTGTCCAAAACTGTTAAGGTCTAGTTAATGTCATAGTTATCCATAGTAAATTACTAGAGCACAAAATCATGTAGCTTTTCATTAGCTACTTCCCATGTTTTAATTTCTGTTTTTCCAATTTCTTAAAAAGTCATGCTCTTTAATATTAAGGTTTGAGGTCTGATATTGCTGCTGTTACTCACTGAAGCATTGACAGGTTACATCCTTTCCCTGAAACTGTAAAACTGTAATCCTATTTCCTCTTTACTCATGCTCTTTGCCTTTTTTTTTTTTTTTGATTAGAAAAAATACAATGTAAAATATGAAAATGTCAAGATTTTGAAATCCCATGTCTTAAGTCGTAAGTGTATGGAGACGCAATCAAAATCAATTCAACTATTGCAGCATAATGAATTATCAGCAGTCTGATGAGCTATGGTAATTACAGTGTGACTCTTTTAGCCTCAGTTGATGGTTGTTAAGGTCAGTTACCACAGCTCAGCCAATTGACTGATTAGATCAAAGCAGTATAATCACTTGTTTGTTGTCTGCCTGTTTCATTGGTCAAATTGATGCTAACTGGAATAACTCCTTTCCAGTAGTATAAAATTCATGTTTTACCCAACTTTAAAATGGTCAGAAGACAAAGGGGGTAAATGAAGGCTAGTGGTAAATTTATATGCGTAGTGTATCACACGAACATCAGTCTGTTTTGCATGTTTGTAGTTTCTGTTGTGGCATAGTTACCAACAACTGCTGTTTTGAATATTGTTTTTCTTTTCTGTAGCCCTGACTATAATGTAGAGTTCTTCCGCCAGTTTACATTGGTTATGAATGCTCTGGATAACAGAGGTGAATTTTTCACTATGCTTTTATATTTGAGATTAAAATACTGTTAGTACTTCTGCAATGTCAGTTAAGTGACAGGTGTCCTCTTAACCCATCTGTAGTTTGACTATACTTGTGTGCGTCACTAGATATTTGAAAGTGTAGTCAATGCTTTTACAAGATAAAGTAAAGATTAATTTTGATGTTACTGTTTTATGGGAACAGATGAGTATTGTGTGTATATATGTAACTCTCTTCAGTTGAGCTTGCTGTATTTAGTAGTGTCAATATATTTTGTATTAATTGCAAGATTGGCTTTATTAAAAAGCCATACTTCTTTGTATAACGAAATAAGGCAAAATTCTAGATACCTGTTTGCACAGGGGGCTGATTTGAGTCTGGAGAAATCAAACGTTTTTCTATTTACTCAAATTATTTTTTGAAAACTCTTCATTTTGCAGCTGCCCGTAACCATGTGAACAGGATGTGTCTGGCTGCTGATGTTCCTCTTATAGAGAGTGGAACTGCAGGCTACCTTGGACAAGTAACAGTTATTAAAAAGGTTAGGTTGCGTATTACTCTTTGTCTCTTAAAATTTAAATCACTGGCTATTTTAGACAGCCAGGAGTTGGGTAATTTGAGATGCACTTCCAGTTCATCTGGTAATAACATATAATATCAGTAGCCTTCACAGTGTGACAAATAAATATTTCACTTTTCACCAGGGAGTGACAGAATGTTATGAATGTCATCCTAAACCAACTCAGAAGACTTTCCCAGGCTGTACAATCCGCAATACGCCATCAGAACCTATCCATTGCATTGTGTGGGCTAAGTATTTGTTCAAGTAAGTCATTTTTTAAAGAAAATAGTTAAAGTGATTCACTCTGGTTTCTGGTTTCTAAGTGGGATACATACAGTCTTGAGAAACAAAATGGACATTTGCATTTTTTTTGCAAGTGAATGTGGACCATCAATAAATCTTTCTGTTGTTTTACCTATATGTTTAATGTAAAGATAGTGTGTCTGTTAGTACTTAGGGCTTGTTCTAGTATCACAGAAAATCTGGCAGAAGAGTTTGGTACAGCAGTGTGAGTTGTTAAGAGCTTACTTTGTCCTTCCCTTACTTCCCGTGAAGTTAGTACATTTTTTCAGTATAATGATTGTATCGACAGTTGTAAAGTTTGCTAGGATCTTGCGGAGGGGGTATTAGGCAACGCGTTCAGTACCGCAGTATAAATGTAAGGCTAGATGAACTATTGAGCAAGTTACACGGATCTGTTTTACTTCATTTTTTTTCTGGACTTTTTGTGTTGTCAGTGTTCAGTCTACATGTAATGAATTCCAGCAATTTAAAAAGCAGTGTATGGAGTGGTGCTCTGGTAGTAAGAATTCTTAGATGGGTGCATGTCAATTAGGAAATATTTTCGTGTTTAACTAGTTATGACGAAAATCTAGTGTTATGTTGTTATTTTTTAATTATCATATAGCCAGCTCTTTGGAGAAGAAGATGCTGATCAAGAAGTCTCTCCTGACAGAGCTGATCCTGAAGCTGCCTGTGAGTGTGATATAAACTGGTAGCTTACTTGAGTACTACCCAATTACTAAGAGTTCTGTTTCAGAAATTATGACTTGTTTCTGTCCATTTCTTAAAGCTATTTAAAGTTAGACAGTTCAGCTCTGTTTCCTTCTAAGAGGATTCCACCTACAGTCCCTGTGGTCTACATGAGTTTGGGGCATGTTAATAGTAGTTTCCCTTACAGATCTTTCTGTACACCATAGATCGGTTAGTGACCTCTTACTGCTGCTTAATAGAAATATGAAACTACTTCAGTGTTTTTTGGTTTCCTTGATACATAGTGCATCAAAGATGTTTAAGTGTGGCCAGTGTGCAAAAAATACTCTTCAAAATGACCATTGGTTTAATGCTCTCAGTTATCAGAACTGGCTGTGTGGGCAGCCTGAAAGTTAATAAAATGATTTGTTCAGCTGTGAAAACTTTTTTACTACAGTGTAAAAAAATGAATGACATTGGCATTCATTACTTGTGTCAGGGATAACATGGGTAGAAGAGCAGCTGTGAGGAACAGTCATACCCTTACAAAGCCTGGGTTGACACGTCTAGGTGTAAGATACGTGATTTAGATGAAGAGGCTTTTACTTATATTCAGAGACTCCTGTTGCCTGTGTAGCAAACTCTCTTTGCTGTGTGTGCAGAAACTTGAAGTGCAAAGTGAGCTGGAAGTGAAAATTAAATATCACTGATCCTCACAGGGTGGAGATCCTGTATTACTTGGATTTGAGGGAGTGCTTCCTTCCCTGCAGCTGGGAGTCTTGTCCTTTGAATTGAGGACAGAGAACTGAGTACTACTTGTAGTCACTCTTCATTTCCCACTCCTAACTGAGGGATTGCAAGAGAATACAGGGATTATGTGTAAACTCTTCTGGTCTGGAACACTTCTATGTTCATATGCACAGGAAATGTGCTCATTTTGAGTGATGTTTCTTCACCTATCCCCTATTTTTTTGCAATGACAGTCACTATAGTTACTGTATAGGTGAATAAGCATCTTATTTGCTGCTTCTCCTTTTGGATCCTTTGATAGGTGAATGGATTTGAGAGAGGAAGCTTAGAGGATCCTCTGATACTTCAGATTATCTGAACATCAGATAGTATTCACCCACCAGTATTCCTACAGGAAGTCCAGAATGAAATAACTGAACCTTGTAAAGTGGCACATAACTCAGCTAAAACAGCTGCTGCTGGAAGACTTTAAGATAGCAGATGTCCTGCTACTTTTTTAAAGAAGGACTCCAAGGAAATTCCAGGAACTGAGCTGTAGTCTGATGTCTGTGCTGAGCAAATTGGCAGTAGCTGTAATGTCACTGCTTTTAACCAGCATAAGTGGTGCATCAGGGAAGGGTTAACACAACATTTGTAAAGGGAAGTCACGCCTTGCATGGCTGTTCAGGTCCTTTGATGGAATCAGCGAACCTGTGGACAAGCTTATCTGGTTGACACAGTTTTGAAACTCTAGAAGTCGCTCAGAACTGTTGGTGAGAAACCTGAAGGAGATAAGTGGCCATGGAAAAAAGATAAAGGTCCATCCTTATGTGGATAAAGTACTTAAATGATAGGGATAAATTGTAAGTAGAGCAGTCTCTCAGATTATGGATGGGACCAGGTCTATTCAACATAAATAGTTAGGCAAAGTCACTGAAAATAATAAAGATGAGGGCTAACCCCAAGAAGTTGCAGAAAGCTGCACAATACAGAATAACTGGGAGATAAAATAGCAGGTGGATTTTGGTGCAGATAAATATTTAAGTGATGCATTGGTGAAGAGGGGAGGAGCATTCCCAAATTTACATATAAAATGATGGTCTTTGAGTTAGTTTGTTCCTATTCAGTCAAGATTTTTTATAGATTTATGGAAACGTCAGCCTGCTGCTTATTGGGAATCACAATTGCAAGTGCTAGACATGACTGTGAAAGGAACAGAAAAGGAATAGCATCTGTACCCATGGAATTTTTTTGTACGGTTATGGTCCTTCCCTCTCCAAAAGGGTATAGTGGAACTGGAAAAAGTACAGAGAAGGGCAGCAGGGATGACCGGAGGTGGGAAGCTGATTCTCTCTGTTGAAGTTCTAACCAGCAAGAGAGACTACTAAGAGGGGATGGTTAGAGGTTGATGAAATCACAACATAATGTAGAGAAAATAAATGGAAAGCGATTGTTCACTGTTTCTGCCAGTAAAGGAATTAGATGGCATCAAATTAAATTAGTGGATGGTAGTTATAGTAGTACACAGGAGCAGTCAAGCTGTGTCTAATGCAGCTTTTGTAGGGCACAGTAAAGCGTTATTTGGTTTATTGACTCTAGGGGAAATGTTTGGATGTGGATTTCTGTTTTTGTTTTGAGTTTTTTTTCTTTTGAATTAAAATACCTGGTTAACACTCTATTAATAGGGGAGCCAGCAGAAGCAGAAGCCAGAGCACGAGCATCCAATGAAGATGGTGAGATTAAACGTGTTTCAACTAAGGAGTGGGCTAAATCAACTGGATACGATCCAGTTAAACTTTTTACTAAGGTATCATTTTTGCCCCCAATAAATGTCTTTATTCAAAGTGTGTGAACTCCTTTAAAGTTATCCCAAAACACAGTTAATGTGCTTACCGCTAGCCATCAATTATGTAATTCTGTCATGACTTCCACCAATTTTGCTGTAGCATTGGTCTTTTAGAACGCTTGTTTCTGTTTCGGCGTTCCATCTGCATCTGTGCTACTGCTGCAGCAGCTGGTTCCGTATTGTACACAGAAAGCTTCATCTGAATTACTTTTAATGTGAAAAATTCAAACTGTTGAATCCTGCAAGAGTTTCGCTTTGCCTAATCACAACCCAGCCTAAGGGTAAAATAGCTATCATTCACCCCCAGCGTATTATCAGACCCTTGCATAAGGGAATACAAGCTGTTTCAGGAGTTTTCCTTCTAAAAAGCTGCTACAAGTGGACAAACAGGAAAAGAGTATGAAATACAGTATTGATAGGCAGTAATCATTTTCCTTGGAATTGGTTGCTCATTTGTTAATTGGTATATAGATAAGAATATCTTAGGGAGAGTGTACAAATAATTACAGTAATGGCTTCAGTAGGCGGATACACCCACTGCTTGGATTATTGTTTCTTGACCTACTTTACTTTTCCAAAAAAAAAAAATCATCAGAGCTGTGTCTCTCTTGTGTGAAGCAGTAAGTGTAAGAGGATGGGGAATAACTTTTTTGTATTGTGCAGTGTAGTCTGTGTAGTGTGATTTATTTATGCGGTTGAAAATATTTTCAAGGTGAGAAGCAAAAACTTCAAAGCAGATGAAAAGAAAGTTCTTAAGTCTTTTTTTTCCTTCCCTCTCATTTTATTTATTTATTTATTTATTTATTTTTAATATTTCCTAGCTTTTCAAAGATGACATTAGGTATCTGCTGACAATGGATAAGCTGTGGAGGAAAAGAAAGCCTCCAGTGCCGCTAGACTGGGCTGAGGTACAAAACCAAGGTAATTGTTCTCCCTCCCCTTGTATATCTGTCAGGCATCCCTCCTGTTAGTTAATGCATCTCTATGATATGAACGTTTTCTCACTGTCACAGTTTGAGTACTGATGATGAACGTATTACTTGATTGCAGATTTTTATTTCTTCTCTGCATAGAAACAATTTTTCTAGAACTGTTTTGGAATTGTTATTTCAGATACTCTGTAGTGATTGTGCAAAACTAACATTTTTACAAAATTGTGTGCCACTTTATTCCGGGAGGCCTTCCCATACACGCAGATGCATGTATCTGTAACAGCTGAGTTTTGTTGAAAATGTACAGTTACAATAACTAGTGCATATCTAGGCAATTGATGCAAGTATAGCTATAGACTGCAGTTTTAAATGCAGATTTGTTGTAAAACGTTGGGGCTACTTTTATTTAAGGACATTGTTTTTCAGTTTAGAAAACATTTAATTTTACTGAAGTTGGAAGACTTAGCTCTTTACGAGAACTTCTGTGGGATTTCTAAATATTCCTGATCTTAATTATTTTTTCTTTTCCCAAAGAGAAAAACGTAGCTGACCAACAAAATGAGTCCTCAACAGTCTTGAAAGATCAGCAGGTTCTAGATGTGAAGAGCTATGCACACTTATTTTCAAAGAGCGTTGAAACCCTGAGACTTCACCTAGCTGAGAAAGGTGATGGAGCAGAACTTATATGGGATAAGGTTAGTTCACCAAATACGTAAGAACCAGTTACAATCTACATATGTAGTGCAAATGTTACTGGACTCATAAGTTTCACTCCAAAGTAGTACTGCTTTGAACAAAAATGTCTGGCATGTTTTCAAAACACTTTTTGTATGTAAAACGGTGTATGCTTTAGACATTTAATGTTTTATTACTCATTTAGTGTAAGGATTAAGTACTGTGACGTAAGGTAATAACCTAATTCACTAACTTTAAAAAACAGAACTTCAGAAGTAGCTGTCATATATAGTTGTGGTTTGGAAAGTATTGTAATAATCCCACTTCATTTTTCATTTTGCTCTAGCTTTCTCTAAAACACGTTCTTATACAATGGTGTGTAGCCAGAGTTGTGCACTTAGTTGTACATAGTAGTTAGCTTTGACCGTAGGCATATGATGTAGTATGAGTTTTACTGAAGAAAAATGAAAAGCAAAAGAGCTGTCTCTGTTTCAGCTCCAGAGATAGTGTGATCTTTCTGCAGTCAGCTGTTATTTGGCATAAAACAAAAAAAGTAATACGTAAATACAAAGGAGACAAGAGTAGAATAGTAATACAACAGATAGTGAAATACTTGTAATCCTGTGATTTCTGAAACATCTGTTTTTGAAACTGAGCATAAAATATTACAGGTTTTAGCACTTAAACATTTTGAACATACAAGGCATTTTATTAATGCTAAGTCAGTACTAAAATACTAAACACAATTTCTAAACCCGTATCGAAAGTGTTACTGCTGTGCTTAAACCTACCGTCTAAAAGAGGCAACGTATTAACTTTGAGCTGGACTAATACAGACTCTTTCTTAACATGTTTTTAAGGTAATAATTTTAGAAACCATATGTTGTGAACTTTTTTCCAATATATAATCTGATTGTATATACCTTGGCACCTTAACTTCTTGTCAGGATGACCCTTCTGCAATGGATTTTGTCACTTCTGCTGCAAACCTCAGGATGCATGTTTTCAGTATGAATATGAAGAGCAGATTTGACATCAAATGTAAGAATAAAATATACCATCATTTTATTTAATTAGAAATCTAAAATTCCTAGTCTTCATTTACTGTTAAAAATCTGCATACTCTTACTTATTTTTCAGCAATGGCAGGAAATATTATCCCAGCTATAGCTACTACTAATGCAGTAATAGCTGGTCTGATAGTGCTGGAGGGTTTGAAGATTTTATCAGGAAAAATAGATCAGTGTAGAACGGTAAGTGGGAATAAGATATTTTTGTTTTGCTGTTATTCATTATATACTTAACAGTCGTGCTTAACCTGCTTTGACAAGTGTGCAGTTTTACTCTCTGTCAGTTTGTTACCCCAGTAGATCCTGAATGTTTTGGGAAGTTTCAGCTGCAGTGGAAAGAGAAATGGAAGCCTCATGGATCACTAATTTTCTTCTGGTTTCATGAAAATTGGCTACTAGGTAGGAGGAAGAGAACCAGACTCTGACACCACTTGAAACATGACAGTTTCACGTTTACATGTCTATTTGGCAACGGCTGGTCAATCAGCACAGGTGTCGTTGTGGACTGGCCATTACATGCCCTTTCTCTGGCTCAACAGGCATGTCAAACAGGACTAGGGAACAGAACCTCCTATGAGACTAAGAATAAACCTATAGGAAACCAGGTTTCATTAGTATTGTTACTTAAGGAATAACTTGTTTTCGTCTTCCTTCAAGATTTTTCTGAACAAGCAACCAAATCCCAGAAAGAAGCTATTGGTTCCTTGTGCTTTGGATCCACCAAATCCTAACTGTTATGTTTGTGCAAGTAAGCCAGAAGTGACTGTGAAACTTAATGTACACAAAGTTACTGTGTTAACGCTCCAGGATAAGGTAAATCTTGCTAACTGCAGTTTTCATTTTGGTTGTAACGTATATTATTAAAGTTATGTTTTGTTAAATGTATTTTCACTGTACGTTAGCGATTTATATTTGCTCTATAGTTTGCATTTCTCTCAGCTACAAGAAAAGCTAGATTAGTCAGTATGCTTCTGGCTCATGTGCTTATATAACCCATGAAAGAATGTTTGTATTTTGTAACTTTTTGGATATTTTTAAAGCCCACTTATATCTAACAGCAAAAAATTTAATTTGTATTTCAGTTTAAAAAATATAATAGCCACATTATAGTGTTGTAGTAACAACTGAATTGTATTTCTGTAATTTTTTTGAAAGAAGTATTCTAAGAATTTTTCAGCATAATGTCTGAACCTCTAAAGGAAAAATAGTTTCTTGTAATAGCTAGATCTTATGATTTCAGAGAGCAAAAAGATGATTTTTGTTGTTCATGGGAGTGAAAAAAGAGAAATAATAATTTTGCAGGCTTTAGCAGTTGCCTTAATGAACGTGGGCCAGGATAGGAAAACCATCCTAATTTAAGGTTATTTCATTCAGAAGTAGCTTTAAGAAAGATTGTAATAATCCTATTCATCTTTTCAGATAGTGAAAGAAAAATTTGCTATGGTAGCACCAGATGTACAAATAGATGATGGGAAAGGAACTATCCTTATCTCTTCAGAAGAAGGAGAAACAGAAGGTATGCATACTTTCTAGCTTTTATTTACTCTTAGTTAAAAGCTTCAGTAACTAAGATGTACAGAATGGAAGCATAGCATATGTCTGAGTGTATGTCCTGTGGACTAATATTTGAAGAGAACTGGACTTGCAGGTATGTAAATGGCTTGAGAATAGCTAGTGGTATTGTCTATATGCCTACAAGCAGTGTTTGGCTTTCCTATATGAAGTGCTTTCACCTTAAGCATCAGAGTTCCTTCAAGATCTCAGCTACAGAAACGCTCCAGTTATCTCCTCCTGTTTGTAATCCCATTCTTTTTCTTGTTCTTAGATTCTTCGATACGATCTTTTTATGATGGACAGTGACTGATGCTTGTAGACACAATTGTAATACAAATATTATCTTCTCCAGAAAACGTTCCTAAATGTAGCAATAATGAAGTGTTTCAACAGAATGCATGAGAGAGAAATAAGTCCAACACATAGTTTTACTCCCAGTAGGCCTAATGGCAGCTCTTACTTAAATATAGTTGATAAATGTTAGTCTTATTTTTCCACATAAAAATTCTGGAGTATTCATTTCATCAAAGTTTATTCAGGGGTAAAGGATAGTTTTGAATTTTTATATTAAGTATCATATATTAATATAAATACCCATATACACCACAGTATTTCACTATTTTTCTAGCAAATAACCATAGGAAATTATCAGACTTTGGAATTCGAAATGGCACTCGACTACAGGCAGATGATTTCCTCCAGGACTATACACTGTTAATCAATGTGCTTCATAGGTAAGGATTCTGGAATAATTATTTCATGTATATATTTAAAATAGTTCCATATGGAATTTCCGATTCTGAATTTTAAATTCATGACAAAACTCAAAAGATTGAGCTGCTGAAAGTAAATATTGAAATTAAAGAGGAATTTGATTTTTTTTTTATTAATTAATATAAATAGAGTCTTCTTTCTTATAATAATAATTGGAAAGAGTTTATTTTATTTGAATTAATGTAGTTGTTACATAAAGTAAAAATGCAGTGCAAAACTAAATTTACTTTTGGGGCTGCCAACAAGTGAGAAACTGCAGAGGGTTTGAAACAAACAAAGACCGAAAAACCCCTGCTAAAGTAACAGATCATCTGTTTGACTACCTGTGAGCACACGCAACAATGCAAATAGAAGTCACTTTTAAATAATCGGCATATGTATTAAATGGTGGATAAGAAGTATATATATTATATACAATAAGTTAACACGCTACACTTCCAGTGAAAATTGGAATGTGAAATTGAGGAAGAAAAGTAAACTCAGGTAATGATTTTTTTTGTCTCTCCTAAGCATTTTACGGCATGGCAGCGAGTGAAACGGAGTATTTATGAATAGACAAAGCATAAATTATGAAGGGAGGACTGAACAGACTTTCCTCATTTTTAAATAAGTTGTTTGTATTTTGTCATAGTTGTAGAGTGCTTTAATAGTGGAATGAAGTATATTTTGTTTGAAAAAGCCAGATTTTTATTTTCATTTGGTTATTTAAAAGAATATGGATTTTTCCACAGTGAAGACCTAGAAAAAGATGTAGAATTTGAAGTTGTTGGTGATGCCCCTGAAAAAGTTGGCCCTAAACCGCCAGAACCAACACCCAGGAACATTACCAATGGTAGTGATGATGGAGCGCAGCCATCGACATCCACAGGTAAATAATAGTAATGGACGTTAAACAAAACGAAACACAGTCTTTCCAGTAGTGCAGTCCAGTTAAAACATGAGTTGTCTTTAGTGTTAGGACGTAACTTCTTTTTGCCAATATGAAATGAAGAGGATCTAAATTACCTGCGTGTGTGTATGTATACACACACACACACACACATACATATACACACATATGCATATGTGTATTTGTATATATAAATATATATTTATATTCTACATACATTTTATTTATGTAAAGAATAATAGCAATGTATATTTAAGATTGTTATAAAGGCTTACAGTAATACACCTTGAAATTATATTATTTAACTCACAGAAGATCGGGGGGAGGCTGGATTTGGCTTAAGAGTATCATTTGCATAGTGATTTGCATAAAATCAGACCCATTCTGTCTAATGGTCACCTGTTGCTTGGGGGAAAAAAAAGAGGATTTATCACCTTCTCCCTACAGATTAGTACTTTTTTGCTATCTTTGATCATAGTTAATTTTATTAATGTAAGAAGATGTAATTTTTATCTGCTTACAAAATAACTTAATTATTTTTCACCCATCGAGCAAAGCATGGCAAAAATAGTATTTGCTATCCAGGAAAAAATTCCATCACCTTTCTAATTTAGAGTTTTTTTTGTAAATCTATTCAAAATAGCTTGACTCAAATGAATACAAGACGTTTAAGTATTACAAGCTAATATACTGGAAACGCCTTACTGCTACACAGAGATAGCATATGAATCTGAATGTTTGTTGTGACGCACACAAGCTAAATATCTGTAGTTCTGTCTTATGCTCTCTGTTTGCCTGTCAGATAGTCCTATTTAAGATACCTGCAGAAGTATGTAATCATTTGCACATGCATCTTACTTGTCTCAGGTCAGGCTAAATGTTAGAGCATCGATCTAATTTGTTTAAAGGTCATTAAAAACTAGTATGAGAAAATAGCGTAACATTAGTTTTTACAGTTAATTTTTATTTAAAAGGAAACTTTTTTTAAAAAACATCTATTTCCCCTTCCACTCCTTTTTTTTCTTCATGTTCTCTCTCTCAGGGAATTTAGCCTCTGATGGGAGTTTTGTTGAATACACTGGTAAAGGTGAGGCTGGACTTTGATTCAGTGTGTAAAGGTTCTTTCCTCAGGGACTCCTGCAGATAGCATGCAATTCTTCTGTTTTGCATGTGCAAAACATCTTGTTAATTAATGCGTTTCCCATATTTTTGGATGATTGTGATATTTTCACCTCTAGTGAAGAGGGAGAAAACATGTGAATAGCCTATTTTATACTGATTTCAGAGAAATTGAAAAGTATTACTGCATTTGAATGACAGAGGATGTGAACAAAGAATGCTCTAAGATGTATTTGTTTTATTAGAGACATCCTTACTTTTGTTTTATGACATGAAATTTGGGTTGAGGATAAACTATCTTTGCAGTACCCATTGGAATTAAAAACACGTATTTTGCAGCTCCAGATCAAGATGATCTGTTGATTGTTGATTCTGAAGATGAAGGTCCTTCAAGCAACATTGATGATGATGTGGAAAGTAAAAGCCGCAAAAGGAAACTAGAAGATAAAGAATGCGTCAGTACTAAGAGAGTGCGTATGGAGCAGACAGAAGAGCAAGATGAAATTATAGCATTAGACTGAACATGCAAATGCCCCTTGACAGAATGATTCAGATAATGTAATACAGTAACAGCATATTATGTTGGGGGTGTGGAAAATGTCCAGAACTAGACTAATTTTAAGACCTTTGTTCCAAGGGATTTACCAAATCACTGGCTTAAATAATTTGTGTCTGTTCCTCTTGATGATAAAGCTCTCATCTCAATAAACTCTTCAGAAGTTTTTCCATATGGTATATTAAATGTAGTAGAAACATAGTCTATACAAACTTGCACATAAGTATTTGCTTAAATGGTCATGGGAAAAAAGCATGTTATTTTTGTGTAAATACCTTTTAGATATAATTCAGTAGGACAAAAAAAACTACCCTGGTTTAGTAAAGGGTCATCATTTGATGCCCAGATTTATAAGTAACGTTTTTTTCTTTTTTTTTTGGCTTGAAGAAAATTTCGTATTTTAGCCTAGTCCTAAATATTTTTCACACCCTGAACTCAAATAAAGGACAAAATTCACTAAAGCAGATTAGTGCCGTGTTTTAACAGTGTTCTTAAACTTTAATGGCACTATGTACATTACTGTAAAACTGTTAATTTACTCAAGTTTTTCAGCTCGTACTGCCTGGTATGTCAGTGTAAGAAGCAAACTTTTGTGTATTGTTACAGTTTCAGGTTATTTATATTTGATGTTTTGTAAACTCAGATACTACTACTATACTGTACATCTGATGGACCAAATAAATGACATCTGAAATACTTGCTATATTTGCTTGCACAGTCCAAGTTAATGCTGATTTATGGGATTTTACAATGTATAGCCTTCAAAAATTACTGTACTATTTCCATTTTTTTAAACATAACCTAGCAGTACAGAACTTAAGCTTCACTTGTTTGAGGTGAAAGGGGATTTTTTTTAATAAAACTTTTGTGAATGTTTTTTTTCCTGGACAATCAATTATTGGCCTCTTCAGCTGGAACACTTGCACCACCACGTACAAATGCTTTCACCACTTCATGCTTTTAGAAAGAGGAAGCGCTGGTCTTCTATAAACTACACGTTGTGGATAGGGCAAAAAGGTTTATTTTTAGGAAGAATATCATGAAGCTACTGCATTTTTGTAAATATTTGGGTAGCTGTCAAAATTGTCAGTGTCAAGTCTTAGAGATAACTACTGTCACTGCTGAAATTTCTTACAAACTTTGGTGTGCAGAACTGCTTTTATTAACATGTAAGTACTCAGTATTAGCCTTAGAAAGCAGAGATATTAAGCAAATGAGATTTATTCTATTTGAGTTTGCAAAGCGGCTGAATTTTAAACAAAATATTAACAGTGGAGAATAGGATATAAAAAAGAAAAAAGCACTTCTTTAGGTTTCAGATCTGCATCTGGTTCTGTCTAGTACAAAGGCCACCTTTTCATCAGTATTAATTTGCCAATGAGGTGCAAAACTGTAGGATTCTACAGTGCAATTAATGTTTTATCTCTTCTTTTAGGTGGTAATAGTCATATGCAGTGGCTTGTTTGAAGACATAAGCCTCTACCATGAAATTCTAAATCTTTTTGAGTTAGTTGCTTCTTGGCCATCATCAGTGAAGACTGAGAGGTAAAGATGTAAATGAAAAGAGTTAAAGTATTTTTCAACACTATATGGGAAGTTTTTATAATTTTCTCCATAAGCAATTAAAGCACTAGAATTTCATACATTTCAGATGTCACTGAAGCGCAGATTGACATCATCTAGAAAACTATCAATTTCTTTTAAGCTTTATTAGAAATAAAGCTTTACTGGTTTATTAAATTTGTTGTCACATTGCTTTCTACCTGTGTAATAGAGCTTTGTCTTGTCACAACGAGGAGCACAATCCTATCTAAGCAGGTGGCATGTGTAATGTGTCTAAAATAGTGTCAGCCTATCTCATTTACTACCGGAGAAACTTCCCTGCTTCCAGAGGGCTGTATAAAAGAGTTTAGCTTTCTAACTCCTTTTTGGCTAATCTAACAGTAGAAGCTGTAATTCTGAGTAACTTTATCACATCAGTTTTACTGATGTTGAGCGTTCAAAACTTGGAAGTTGAATGGGATATAAGCTGAATTGAAACAGATTTCTGCAATAACGTGCAGCACCAACAAATTTGGCGAGGAAAAAGAAGGGTGAGGAGGGGGATTTTTATTTAGTCTGGCTGCCTCCTACTTAAGTTATCTATCTGATGTGTAGCGTTACAGTGTAAGATTACAGTTTCTCAAAGTATCTGGGATAGTAACGTCCGGTAAGACAGGTAATAGTCTCTCAGGGCAGTAGACAACTGTCTTGGCTGTCAAAAAAGCCAGATTGCAAAAAATCAGTATTAACCAAGCGTCTTATGTGTTTTATTGCCTTGGATGTGGGGGACCGCTGCAGGTCACTGTTTACGTTAGGTTTTAGAGAAGCACGGAATTTAAACTATGTATCGTTGTCTGGTTTGCATCATGGAAGGTAGCCTAGAATTTACATAGGCAAATACATGTTGATGTATTTAGGAGATAAAATTGTGCTGCTCTTGTTTGGGTAGTAAACATTTAGAATGCTAAAAATGTTCCAAGATCCTTCCTGTAAAATACTTTAAAGTGAGACAGTTTTAAATACTTTTTCTTTAAACAGGCTGCTTCTACAGAACATATGACTGCCTGCTCGTTCAACGTGGGCTATTCTGTTAGGTTCTTACCAAGTCTGGTAATACTGAATGAACCAGTATTGCCTCTCCTTTTCAAAACTGAAGGCAGTATGGGTGTCCTTAACTGGCTCCTAGTCACCAACATTGTATTAGTGTAGAATTTTTCGATTTACACTTTCTCTTGCCCTTGAGAGTAAATTATAAATTGAAGCACTTATTAAGCTTTCAAGTAATTAAAAAAAACCCAAAAAACCCACCTTTCAACATTTGTGTTATAGCCCTAATAGCAGTAATCTTAACATAGAAGGAAATATAGTTGGAAGACACAAGATTTAAGCGTTAAAATGGAGGAGAAGTTCTCCCCAATGCCTTAGCTTGGCAGTCCTGATGTAGACTGTTTCCACTAATGATTTTTTGAGCCAGGGTCATTAAATCAATCTACAAATCACTATTTGCAGTGATACAAATTGGCTCTTTTGTCACCAAGCTTGCTCTAGTTGTTTGTTTATACTGCTGTAAATTCTATGTTGTAGACAAGCCGTTCTGGCTGCTTTTCTCTAAAAACAATTCATAATGCTTGTATCTTTATTCACTTAGTGAACTTGAGTGTCATGTGTTAAAAGGACTAGAAAAATAGTAGAATATTTTAATGTAGTTAACTGCATTTGTGAGTGTGGGTATCTGTTACCTGTCTTTGTATGCTATTAGTTCAACATGCCTTTTCTGCACTGGAGCATGGAAGGCAATATTGACCACCTGTACAGCAGTTAACTAGAGATTCCTGAAGCTCTTCTGAATTACAGTGAAGCAATTTGTGAGGACTTCCCAAAATCTTATTGTAAGAAAAAGTAAACTTTACACAAAACCACAACCTGTCTAATTCTCAAAATATTCCGAGGATCACCCAAGTACAGTACTTGTTCCTTCAAGGGGCAACTGATAACCGTTAAAGTTAGGAGAACTAAGAGCTTCCGGGGATATCACATGACAGCTTTGTACCAGCCTTTTTCTTAAAAAGCAACTCAAACCTGTAGATATCAATGTAATGCTTGTAGTAGTTCTTTGTGACATTTTAATTTTGCCTTATGAAGCCATTTCAGCATTGAGCCACACAGAGATGTGCATGCTTTCCTGGCCTGTTGACTCTGACAGCTGGCAAGCAGATTGATATGCCATTTCAGGTTGTGACCTTTACACAAAGACCTCTTGCTAACCATTTATTAGATCTCCGAACATACAGTAAGGTTGTGCTCAGTTAGTATTTACCATTGATACTGTCTGCTTTGAGCCTTATCTCTAGTACCCCAAAGTTGTAAATTTGGATTAGAAAACTGAACAAACACTGAATTGTGGAAAATAAATTTAGGGTTTCTTTCCCTCTCTGCATTCTGTTTTTCTGTCTGTATAGGTAAGAGACTTTTTCTTTCTTCCCTTTGCAACTGTAAGGACAAAAGGCTTCAGTTCTGAACATCTGAAGTTCTCCTGAATTTGTAAGAATGTGGAAATTACAATCAAAGTAATATAACGAATCTTACACAAGGCACAAGTCTTTGTTGTTTGCCTGAGATTGTTTCTGCGCTGGTGCTTAAGCAGAATGACTACAGAGAGCACACACCTACAGACAAAGGGATAGGAGGGGGAGGCAATTTAATGCCGTAAGGTGAAGGCCTTGAAGCTTCTTTAAGGGAGGAACGCGGTAAAGTGAATAAATCTATTCCTAGCTTGATATCAGTTTATATTAACAACAGAACGTTGCTGTTTGTATACATGTCATTATGTTTGTCTTTCTCATCAGCATGCTACTTCATTCGCATATGAGAGAAAAGTGAGACATTTTCAGGATGGTTTTCCTGAAGAAAAGATATGTATGGAGTTGCTCTGCCAGTCCTTTCCAACAGCATTCGAAGCTACTCGCAAACATTAAACACGTTTGCCCATGATCTCAAAGCTACTGCAGTTCTACAAATAAGGGGCTGTAGATGAGGAGAGAGGGACCGGCGGGAGTGCTCCTGCAGGAGAACTCAGCTGAGATGTGCCGCACTCGCACACTTGCTGGTGGCCCGTACACAGCGCCACAAGGGATCTGCTGCACTTTGCCCATCTGACAAGTGATCATTGGAGGTAACAGAAGTGTGCTGGGGAAAGAGGGCGCTAAGAGACCTAATGAAAAGCTTGGGAAGGGCTGAGAGCTGTGGGTATTATAAAGGGCAGGCTCGAGAATTAATGATGTTGTAGAGGAGGAATGTCACAGAGAGAAGAGAGGTGACAAGCCTGCTGAGGGATGGTGAGGAATATGGTGGAGGGAACCTCGAGGTATTGCATGTAGCAGCTGAGGATTTGGTAGGTCCTGGGGACTGTAGCTGTGGGAGAGTGCCATGGGACAAAGCGGGCAACAGGACTGCAGTGTCCCTCTCATCACAGCTAAGTGCAGTGTATGGTCAGGTCAGGAAATGGGTGCTCTAGGCCAGCTGTGCTTATCGAATGCTATAAAGAGGAACATACAGTCAGTCTGGAAGCTTTCACCAGCAGAGACCCGAGACAGGTGTGTCTAGGAGTCTGAATCTCACGCACTGTTTCTATTCTTTATTAAGTTCACTAATGCTACCTGATTTCTTTACCAGATGAGGTTTTACAGTATTGTAATTGGGATTTTTTTTTAATTATGTCAAGATAAATTTTAGCTCTGAAGAATCTTAGTTTGCTTTTATATTTTGGGGTCTCTGAAATAAGCTACTTAACCTTAAGAGTACTAAGTGGTGCACTGTTAAGTGAGCTAGCTAACTAAACGTATGCAAATGTAGCAGCTGCTATTAGGCTTACTGATTGTGTTTGAATAAACAGTGATTATGTCCTGTGATTGCAAGGAAGTATGACTGAGACAACATGCAGTCTCCTAAATCTGAGCCAATAGATTGCTTTGTTCAGAAGTGTTATTTGAAATACCTAAGGGAAGTAAAAGATGAAACTATAACAGAAGTAAGATACAATGGTGTATTAGTCTTGTATTAGCTTGGCCATATGTTGTCTATCTAACATAATGTGTTTACAAAGTGGCTGTTGTGACTGGAATTTTACAGGGCCTGTCCCAAGTTATATTTGTGCAGCATGTTGAATAGCTGCATTTGCAATGAAGTAATAAGAGAATAAGAAAAATGTAAAAAATGTTAAATAGTGTTTTATTGCAGATTTAGCATGAGAAATGATCTACAAGCGTGCAGAGCCGTGTTAGTCAAAAATATTTTAAATAGTTTTGCCTAGCAGTCAAAGGTAGCCATCCACATAC